ACACACGTGGGTCAATAGGTAACACACGTGGGTCAATAGGTAACACCCTTGGGTCAGTAATACCCTTGGGTCAATAGGTAACACCCGTGGGTCAATAGGTAACACACGTGGGTCAATAGGTAACACACGTGGGTCAATAGGTAACACCCGTGGGTCAATAGGTAACACACGTGGGTCAATAGGTAACACACGTGGGTCAATAGGTAACACCCGTGGGTCAATAGGTAACACACGTGGGTCAATAGGTAACACCCTTGGGTCAGTAACACCCTTGGGTCAATAGGTAACACCCGTGGGTCAATAGGTAACACACGTGGGTCAATAGGTAACACACGTGGGTCAATAGGTAACACCCGTTGGTCAATAGGTAACACACGTGGGTCAATAGGTAACACCCGTGGGTCAATAGGTAACACACGTGGGTCAATAGGTAACACCCTTGGGTCAGTAACACCCTTGGGTCAATAGGTAACACACGTGGGTCAATAGGTAACACCCGTGGGTCAATAGGTAACACACGTGGGTCAATAGGTAACACCCGTGGGTCAATAGGTAACACCCTTGGGTCAGTAACACCCTTGGGTCAATAGGTAACACACGTGGGTCAATAGGTAACACACGTGGGTCAATAGGTAACACCCTTGGGTCAGTAACACCCTTGGGTCAATAGGTAACACCTATGGGTCAGTAGGTAACTAACACGCTCTCTTCAGTCTACCCTCGTCAAGCTGCGGCCCGCCCCAAAGATCCCCTCATTAATTTATACGTATTCTGTATTCAAACTGTATATATAATTATTATTATTATCATCATTTGTTGTAATTTCGTGCATAATTGAGCCTATGCTAGGTCAGGTGTTTAGATTCTGTTGGCAAGGATTGGTATTTGGTGTAGGTGTGTGTGTGAGGCATTTCAACCCATCCTTCAAGACTACTCGCACACCTGGCATAGTTATGTGGCCTTAATCATAACCCACAATTTGGTTAGGCCTTAACCTTACCACCAAGCCAAACCTACGCCTCTCCTGAGCCTATTGTATACTCGTAGCCTATTCACAGCTACTAAGAGGATATAGGGAGTCGAGTGGTAGGATAATTAAACATAGATAACATGTAACTTGTTCAACACCATAGGGAGTAACTTTTTGGGGTATGTAGTCCATAGGCAAACACGAAGCTAAAACAACATTCCTCGCTATTATGAAGGATTAATTATACTGTATCCGGACAGTTAGTGAGTGTTAGGACATCGTCGTCTCGCAGGTTCACCGAAGTTACTGCATATTTAATACAGTCTCCGTTTTCCTTGATGAGCTAAGCTTGAATCTCATACGCACTGCCAGGTTTAACTATTTCATTCAGATTTTGTTCAACCAAATATAAACTAACCCAGCCTACTATACTCTAACATAACTTTATTTAACCTAATAGTACGAATTACCACTCTGTAAAAACGAAAAAGATGTTGGCGACGAAGGAAAGTTTTCATTCTCGTACAGTGTGGTGCGTCCAGAGAAAATGTCTGTTTGTCTTGTTAGAAACATCCAGTGACTCGCCTTAGTAATACCGTAGCCAGTGGCAGCAGTAACAGGTTCACACAGTAACTGTTTCACGCAGTAACAGGTTCACACAGTAACAGGTTCACACAGTAACAGGTTCACGCAGTAACAGGTTCACACAGTAACGGGTTCACACAGTAACGGGTTCACACAGTAACAGGTTCACACAGTAACAGGTTCACACAGTAACAGGTTCACACAGTAACAGGTTCACACAGTAACAGGTTCACACAGTAACAGGTTCACGCAGTAACAGGTTCACACAGTAACGGGTTCACACAGTAACGGGTTCACACAGTAACAGGTTCACACAGTAACAGGTTCACACAGTAACGGGTTCACACAGTAACGGGTTCACACAGTAACAGGTTCACACAGTAACAGGTTCACACAGTAACGGGTTCACACAGTAACGGGTTCACACAGTAACGGGTTCACACAGTAACGGGTTCACACAGTAACAGGTTCACACAGTAACGGGTTCACACAGTAACAGGTTCACGCAGTAACAGGTTCACGCAGTAACAGGTTCACACAGTAACGGGTTCACACAGTAACAGGTTCACACAGTAACAGGTTCACACAGTAACGGGTTCACACAGTAACGGGTTCACACAGTAACAGGTTCACACAGTAACAGGTTCACACAGTAACAGGTTCACACAGTAACGGGTTCACACAGTAACAGGTTCACACAGTAACGGGTTCACACAGTAACAGGTTCACACAGTAACAGGTTCACACAGTAACGGGTTCACACAGTAACAGGTTCACACAGTAACAGGTTCACACAGTAACAGGTTCACACAGTAACGGGTTCACACAGTAACAGGTTCACACAGTAACAGGTTCACACAGTAACGGGTTCACACAGTAACGGGTTCACACAGTAACGGGTTCACACAGTAACGGGTTCACACAGTAACGGGTTCACACAGTAACAGGTTCACGCAGTAACGGGTTCACACAGTAACAGGTTCACGCAGTAACAGGTTCACACAGTAACAGGTTCACACAGTAACGGGTTCACACAGTAACGGGTTCACACAGTAACGGGTTCACGCAGTAACGGGTTCACACAGTAACAGGTTCACGCAGTAACGGGTTCACACAGTAACAGGTTCACGCAGTAACAGGTTCACGCAGTAACAGGTTCACACAGTAACAGGTTCACACAGTAACAGGTTCACACAGTAACAGGTTCACACAGTAACAGGTTCACACAGTAACAGGTTCACACAGTAACAGGTTCACACAGTAACAGAATATTGTGATCCAATGTTCAATAACTCTATGGCATCTAACAGATCTCTAACCGTGTCCACTGGTTAGCCTTGTATAAATGAATGGCCATATCTCTAGCAAAATAATAATAATAATAATAATAATAATAATAATAATAATACGAGAACAATGCCATGATAAATTATAAAGGTATCCGATAGAAAACGTTTATTTTTTAAGAGGAAGATAGAAAGAGAAAACGAGGCGCGAGAATAAGATGGGATACTGTCCTAACATCACAATACCTTGCCTGCTGTCGGAACCCAGTGCAATCTGAGGCAGGTAATCAGTATTCTTTATTTAACTATTCGTTTATTACGTCTGGTGTGGTCAGTTTTACGGTGGTCTTGTGCCTGCGCCTTGTCTTACGGACCAAGTATTATGGGTGGTCTTACGGATCAAGTATTATGGGTTGTCGTAGGGGCCAATTTGTTATTCACTAAACATCTTACCATTTCTGAAGTACTACAATTTTCCTTTAACTTAAGGTAAGGAGAGAGCAGTAAGAGAGTAATGTAACCCGGTCATAACACTACTCTTAACCATATTCTCAACTATTCAGTCCTGTGCCGCCAGGTTGGATATATATTCGGTCTATCCCCCCCAAGACAGTAGCTTTAATGCGAGTTTGAATACTTCCTCACAAGAGACTAAATGACTGCTCCTCCCCCACAAGACACTGCGTGCTCCCCAAAGAGAGAGTGCAGGGTCCCCGACAAGACATTTTTCACCCGACACACTGGACTGCGCACATTTGCTGGTAAATGTTTGTCACAACTTTCGGATCGGATCCGTGGCAGCCAGACCGCAGAAAGACCCATTCCTGAATTAACTCCCGACGCGCGTGGATCCTCTCACGAACGGACGTGCCGTGCGCGCATCGTCACGCAAGATGCCTCGTCACGCATGTTCCCGCCTTCAGTGGTCCGGGTTGCGTGATGTGGGGTCGCCCGTCAAGAGCTGCCTACCACTCGGGACTACATGTATATTGTGCTGGCTCACTCTCAAGCCGCGGCCGAGTGAGGCGAGGGTGTAGGTGTGGACGGGGGAGCCAGCAGCGAGGGTGTAGGTGTGGACGGGGGAGCCAGCAGCGAGGGTGTAGGTGTGGACGAGGGAGCCAGCAGCGAGGGTGTAGGTGTGGACGAGGGAGTGAGTGGCGTAGGTGTGAGGATGGAGCAGCATCGTGGGTTGAGGTACAGGTGTAAGTGTGAGTGTACGCATGAGAGAAGAGCCAGCTTGAGTATGGAGGAGGGAGAGATGGGGGGTGTACAGGGACTTCCCTGTGAAGGTGACGCCGGAATGTCGACTCTGTGACGCATACTTTATTCTGCTGATTCACGTTGTCTTTGCCTGTGTGTTCTTGCCTATCACAGCTTAAAGGAAGATCAGTAACTAATGATCTTGTGTGGTGTCTGGCGAGCGAGAACACGTCCACCTGGACCAACCAACCATCTTGCTTTATTGTTGTGGTAGCCTTCCTGTGTTCTCCTAAGTCCTGTGCTTACTTAAAATAGTCAACTTTCCCTTCTCCGAGACGAGGCGTCAACTCAGCCCGTCCTCATAAGGTTTCCCAACGTCAAGAACCTGTCGTACTAAAGTGCCCTAATCCTAACCTACCTGAGGACCCAGAACAGAAAACAGGACAGTATGTCAATTTTGCAACCCGCTACCATTTTCTAGTACGACAATTTTTGGCTTTAGGTAGAGTTTACGTCACAATGTGACGTTCTATTACGAGGACGGGTTGATCTCAGAAGTCAATTCTTGACTGAGACTTTGTTACGGGTCGTGTTACTGATGAGAGCCGCGAGTGAGGGCTGCACCTCACTGTCAACACAAGACACTTGCGGTCACTCAACTCCATTTACAGTCACTCCTCTCTCAGCGATGTCTTAATCCTCTTGTATCATTAATATCATACATGACCTCTTGAATATTCTGCGACAGACTGTGCTATACCGCCATACTGGCAGGACATTCTCTGATAATTACTTACTGGCCTAACCAGACCTGCGAGCAGTGAACAACAGACTATCCAGGGATAGTCTCTTGAACACCTAAAACGTCTCCAGGACTCCTGTACTTAGGTATTAGAGGAGCAGAAACAAATGATATGGCACAACATTTTGTGAAGCATTACAAGTGGTGAAGAGCTTACCTTGAGTGAGGAAACAGGCGTAGTGGTCGCCCAGGGTGGCCACATGGACGCCAAGCGTGTGGACGTACGCCAGGACGTCCGAGGCGACCGGGTGGCCATAGGGATAGCAGGCAAGGGCGTCTGGGAGGAGGGTGTAGCGCTCGTGGCGGCCACATACGGAGAAGATGAGAGCGTTGAATTGTGGGTCCAGAGAATAATAGATCATGGCGGCGACGGCGGGCGACCACTCCCCGCCCCCACTATCTGTCTTTATACCTCGCCCCCCTTGCCAGCGCACGCCCACGCCCGCACTCCTCAACATAGAGAGACGCAGGGCCAGAGGTAAGCATGGGCGGCCTTATCACCACCCTCACTACCCCCCAACACCCGCCGCCCCACCCCCACCTCGATCTCCCTCCAACACCCGCCTTGGGAGCGCCACTATCACCTCTCACGATCAACTTTCCTGAAATTCTCACTGTATACCAACTGGGCTCCTCACTGCACACGCCTCCCGGGCTCCTCACCACACACGCCTCCCGGGCTCCTCACCACACACGCCTCCCGGGCTCCTCACCACACACTCCGGGCTCCTCACCACACACCTCCCGGGCTCCTCACTGCACACACCTCCCGGGCTCCTTACTGCACACACTCCGGGCTCCTCACTGCACACACTCCGGGCTCCTCACCACACACAAAGCTCCAGTATTTGATCTTCCCGCCCAGATCTTGGTGTTGCTGACGCCACCAGAGGCGACGGGTTATCTCCTGGTGTTACTGACGACTAAGTAACGCAACACAACATTGATTAACAATCCGCATGCTGAGTGCTGCACGCTAGGTACACAGTGAACGTTGAGTGGTCTAACACTGCACAAGGAACACAACACGCCAGTAGCACAAACAACAACACTGAGACATTGTCCATATAATCACAACAACTGGTGTAGGGATACACAACACCAGCACGGGCGGCCGTCCACAGAGTGTAGTACACTTACTATCTGTATAGCACTTCACAAAAATAAATAGGAAATTATAGGTATGGGAGGAGAGGTGTAGTGCGGTTGGTGTTGCGAGGGAATAAGCCCAGGGAGGAGTTACCGCTGCACCAGGTGTTTGGCAGGTGTGTCGCAAGTGCCGCAGGTGCCGCAGGTGTGGAGAAGATGTAGAGTCACGCCGCACTGCTGGTTGAGGGTGAAGAAGATCAGGTCACCTTGTACAGTATCATAGTGAGACGAGTGTGGCTGCCGGCGAGCTGGGTCGCAGAATTCCTGAACCTCGACGACGTTCCTGCTAGAAGGTCACTTGTTACGTAAGGCGAGGTGTTGAGGGAGGAGGTGAGTGCCTCCCGGGGCACTAGGTAGTGGCACCAGTCGCTGCGGGTGTCAGCGGGCGGCAGCATCCTGGCGGCGCTGCTGGTGGGGCATCCTGGTTCTCACAAGACTGTAGGATTGCATATGACGTCAGTCGCAGAGGTTAACAGGGGCGAGGCGACGTCCAGTGAGGACGGGAGTAGCCAGTGAAGGTGCCTTGCCAGGTCTGCAGCCACGCACACACGCGGGGAGAGAGAGACGAGAATGTGTTAGTAAACAACTACTACAGTTAGTACAGCATAGTTAGAAGGCAGTTAGTACAGCATAGTTAGAAGGTTGGCAGTGACTAAGGTTAGACAGAAGTAATGAGTTACATACATGTTCAGCTACAGTGTGTTGTACAGTACGCTGGACGACCTACATCACGTCTACAGTGTGTTTCCACCCACACCCAGCATAATGCTCCACCCACACCCAGCATAACGCTCCACCCACACCCAGCATAATGCTCCACCCACACCCAGCATAATGCTCCACCCACACCCAGCATAACGCTCCACCCACACCCAGCATAACACTCCACCCACACCCAGCATAACGCTCCACCCCACACCCAGCATAACGCTCCACCCACACCCAGCATAACGCTCCACCCACACCCAGCATAACGCTCCACCCACACCCAGCATAATGCTCCACCCACACCCAGCATAACACTCCACCCACACCCAGCATAACGCTCCACCCACACCCAGCATAACGCTCCACCCACACCCAGCATAACGCTCCACCCACACCAGCATAACGCTCCACCCACACCCAGCATAACGCTCCACCCACACCCAGCATAACACTCCACCCACACCCAGCATAACGCTCCACCCACACCAGCATAACGCTCCACCCACACCCAGCATAACGCTCCACCCACACCCACACCCAGCATAATGCTCCACCCACACCCAGCATAACGCTCCACCCACACCCAGCATAATGCTCCACCCACACCCAGCATAACACTCCACCCACACCCAGCATAATGCTCCACCCACACCCAGCAAACACTCCACCCACACCCACACCCAGCATAATGCTCCACCCACACCCAGCATAACGCTCCACCCACACCCAGCATAATGCTCCACCCACACCCAGCATAACGCTCCACCCACACCCACACCCCAGCATAATGCTCCACCCACCCAGCATAACGCTCCACCCACACCCAGCATAATGCTCCACCACACCCAGCATAACACTCCACCCACACCCAGCATAACGCTCCACCCACACCCAGCATAATGCTCCACCCACACCCAGCATAACACTCCACCCACACCCAGCATAACACTCCACCCACACCCAGCATAACACTCCACCCACACCCAGCATAACACTCCACCCACACCCAGCATAAACACTCCACCAACACCCAGCATAGGTGGTGAAAAGGGTTACAAAGGCACATAATGGGTTCAGGAACTGAACCCCAGAGTTCGTATAGCTAAGGAAGTGGCAATCTTGTGACGCTAGTTAAACAATTGCTAATGTTATGTATACATGTACATCATATTCATACATACATACATATAATATATTATATATATATATATATATATATATATATATATATATATATATATATATATATATATATATATATATATATATATATACACAATCATTTACACAAATACATATACACATCGATAATCTTTTTATATCACAAGTGATTCAACAAGAGGCTCACAACAGTCACTATACAAGGCACTTAACATCTATGGTGAGTCACACAGTTACTAGTCTTGTTCCACACCCACCCAACTGGGTGGCAGCTTTACAGTCATGTGCTCCGCGGCGACCTAACTTGGCGGCAGCTTTACAGTCATGTGCTCCGCACCCACCCAAATGGGCGGCAGCTTTACAGTCATTTTCTCCTCACCCACCCAACTGGGCGGCAGCTTAACAGTCATGTGCTCCACACCCATCCAACTGGGCGGCAGCTTAACAGTCATGTGCTGCACACCCACCCAAATGGGCGACAGCTTTACAGTCATTTGCTCCACACCCACCCAACTGGGCGGCAGCTTTACAGTCATGTGCTCCACACCCACCCAACTGGGCGGCAGCTTTACAGTCATGTGCTCCACACCCACCCAACTGGGCGGCAGCTTTACAGTCATGTGCTCCACACCCACCCAACTGGGCGGCAGCTTTACAGTCATGTGCTCCACACCCACCCAACTGGGCGGCAGCTTTACAGTCATGTGCTCCACACCCACCCAACTGGGCGGCAGCTTTACAGTCATGTGCTCCACACCCACCCAACTGGGCGGCAGCTTTACAGTCATGTGCTCCACACCCACCCAACTGGGCGGCAGCTTTACAGTCATGTGCTCCACACCCACCCAACTGGGCGGCAGCTTTACAGTCATGTGCTCCACACCCACCCAACTGGGCGGCAGCAGCTTTACAGTCATGTGCTCCACACCCAAAAACTGGGCGGCAGCTTTACAGTAATGTGCTCCACACCCACCCAACTGGGCGGCAGCTTTACAGTCATGTGCTCCACACCCAACAAACTGGGCGGCCAGCTTACAGTCATGTGCAGGCTGAACCTACAGTAAGCAATTTTTTTTTTTTTTTTTTTTTTTTTTGGATATATAAAAGAGTTGTTACATTCTTGTACAGCCACTAGTACGCGTAGCGTTTCGGGCAAGTCCTTAATCCAATGGTCCCTGGAATACGATCCCCTGCCGCGAAGAATCGTTTTTTCATCCAAGTACACATTTTACTGTTGCGTTAAACAGAGGCTACAGTTAAGGAATTGCGCCCAGTAAATCCTCCCCGGCCAGGATACGAACCCATGACATAGCGCTCGCGGAACGCCAGGCGAGTGTCTTACCACTACACCACGGAGACTGTTTATTTTTCGGATCCTTCGCTAAGATTCCCGGCAGTACATCATTATAAAAGAAGTACTTACACATTACTTGGACACTACGGTGATATATTTGATCACCGCACGGTACACAACCCATATATTTCGAAATATTAATTTTCCAAACACCCTACTTTTCTATTCATATGCGTCTATTACTGCTGGTGTGACCCGCTCCTTCATTTCCATTTCTTGTTTTATCTTTGATTGTCATGAAACATAATTCACTCCAGCTGCGGTAATTCCTTGAAGGCACACGAGCAATTTTGTCCGTATTGTGTAGTAAAATAAAGCATTTTCTTAAATTTAGATTAATAGTACCATATATTATACGTTTGTGTGTTGTTATTTTAGGTCAGGATAGATACCTTGAGGTTACCTTGAGGTGCTTCCGGGGATTAGCGTCCCCACGGCCCAGTCGTCGACCAGGACTCTGGGTTGCTGGACTGATCAACCAGGCTGTTGCACGCGGCTGCTCGCAGCTGACATATGAGTCATAGCCTGTTGATCAGGGATGCTTTAGATGCTTCGGTTTCATTGGCAAAGGTTTGAATTTTATAATATGATCTACGTATGATTATATATATATATATATATATATATATATATATATATATATATATATAATATATATATATATATGCGAACAAGCCTGAATGGTCCCCAGGACAATATGCAACTGAAAACTCACACCCCAGAAGTGACTCGAACCCATACTCCCAGGAGCCACGCAACTGGTATGTACAAGACGCCTTAATCCACTTGACCATCACGACCGGACATAATGAGGTGATAGCCGAGGCTATTTGATCCACCCCACCGCCGGCACTCGGATAGTAATCTTGGGCATAGCATAGCATCCGAGTGCCGGCGGTGGGGTGGTTCAAATAGCCTCGGCTATCACCTCATTATGTCCGGTCGTGATGGTCAAGTGGATTAAGGCGTCTTGTACATACCAGTTGCGTGGCTCCTGGGAGTATGGGTTCGAGTCACTTCTGGGGTGTGAGTTTTCAGTTATATATATATATATATATATATATATTATATATATATATATATATATTATATATATATATATATATAGATATATATATATATATTATAATATATAATATATATATATATATATATATAATATATATATATATATAGTCAGACCACGGAGGAAAATGAAACAGGAATTTCCTTAAGTACTTTCGTATATTAAATACATCTTCAGAAGGAATCTGAAGATGTATTCCTTCTGAAGATGTATTTAATATACGAAAGTACTTAAGGAAATTCCTGTTTCATTTTCCTCCGTGGTCTGACATTGTCACATTCTTAATCACGTGTTTATTTCGTGTGATATACATATACATACATATATATATACATACATATATATATAATATATATATATATATATATATATATATATATATATATATATATATATAACAACCAGACTGTAAGTCTTACGTTAGGCTACGATCATCTGCATCTAACAACAACAGCCTGGTTGACCGGACCACCCAACAAGGAGGCCTGTCAGAGACCGGGCCGCGGGGACATTGATCCTCGAAACCCTCGCACGGTAAGATACGTTATAGACTAGGCCTGCCTATATCATATACCACGCTAACCTGTATTACAGACTAACAGCAGCAAAGGTGAAACTAATTTTACAAGCCATATTAGTATGCATAATGCTCCACCCACACCCAGCATAATGCTCCACCCACACCCAGCATAATGCTCCACCCACACCCAGCATAATGCTCCACCCACACCCAGCATAATGCTCCACCCACACCCAGCATAATGCTCCACCCACACCCAGCATAATGCTCCACCCACACCCAGCATAATGCTCCACCCACACCCAGCATAATGCTCCACCCACACCCAGCATAATGCTCCACCCACACCCAGCATAACACTCCACCCACACCCAGCATAATGCTCCACCCACACCCAGCATAATGCTCCACCCACACCCAGCATAACACTCCACCCACACCCAGCATAATGCTCCACCCACACCCAGCATAATGCTCCACCCACACCCAGCATAATGCTCCACCCACACCCAGCATAACGCTCCACCCACACCCAGCATAATGCTCCACCCACACCCAGCATAATGCTCCACCCACACCCAGCATAACGCTCCACCCACACCCAGCATAACACTCCACCCACACCCAGCATAACGCTCCACCCACACCCAGCATAACGCTCCACCCACACCCAGCATAACGCTCCACCCACACCCAGCATAACGCTCCACCCACACCCAGCAT